TGACCCATTTTCAACTACTTAATTATAAAACCCTAGAAGAAATTATAAGTCAATTAAGTTCAAGCTCTTGCTGTCTGGATGTCCTTCCCACACATTTCTTTAAGAAAGTCCTGCCTGTTATTGCTACTGATCTGATCCAAATCGTAAACTCATCGCTTACATCAGGTGTTTTCCCCCAGGCTTTGAAAACAGCAGTTATCAAACCACTGTTAAAAAAGAACAACCTGGACAAATCACTATTGCAGAATTACAGGCCAATCTCAAACCTCCCATTCATCAGCAAAGTTATTGAAAAAACTGTGTGTAAACAATTAAATAGTTTCCTCATGATGACCAACTGCTTTGACACTTTCCAGTCTGGTTTTCGTGCTCACCACAGCACGGAGACTGCCCTCGTAAAAGTATTCAACAATATCCATATAAATACGGACTGTGGCAGAACCACAGTGCTGGTTCTGTTGGACCTCAGTGCAGCTTTTGACATATTACTGAATCGACTGGAGAGTTGGGTTGGACTCTCCGGTTCGGTGCTCGACTGGTTTGAATCTTACATAAAGAACAGGGATTTCTTTGTTTCAATTGAAAACTTCTTATCAAAGAGGTCAAAGGTCACATGTGGGGCACCCCAAGGTTCAATCTTAGGATCCTTCTTATTTAATATTTATATTCTCCCACTAGCTCAGGTCATAACAGGAAATAATATTAGCTACCACAACTATGCGGATGACACACAGCTCTACATTACGATGTCACCAGGTGACTCTGAACCCATCCAATCACTGAATAAATGTTTAGAACAGATAAATGTGTGGATGTGCCAAAACTTTCTCCAGCTGAACAGAAACAAAACTGAAGTCATTATTTTTGACCTACAGAGGAACGAACTAGAGCTATAGATCTAAAGCTATAGATCTAGAGCTATAGATCTAGAGTCAATGCACAGCTTCAGTTATTACAACTAAAAACTAGAGATCAGGCCCAAAACCTAGGAGTAGTGATGGACTCAGACTTGAACATTGCGAGCCACATAAAGACAATTACAAAGTCAGCCTTCTATCACCTGAAGAACATCTCCAGGATTAGAGGACTAATGTCTCAGCCAGATCTAGAGAAACTCATTCATGCGTTTATCTTTAGTCGCATTGATTATTGTAACAGCGTCTTCACAGGCCTGTCCAACAAATCAATCAAACAGCTGCAGCTGATCCAGAAGCTGCTGCTCGTGTTCTCACTAAAACCAGGAAGATAAAGCACATAGCACCAGTTTTAAAGTCCCTCCACTGGCTCCCTGTAGCTCAAACAATAGATTTTAAAATACTGTTGTTAGTTTATAAATCACTGAACGGTTTAGCACCACAATACATCAAAGATCTGCTGTTGTTGTATCAACCTTCCAGACCTCTCAGGTCTTCTGGTTCTAGTCTGCTCTGCATCCCCAGCCCCAGAACCAGAACCAAAAGAGGAGAAGCAGCTTTCAGCATCTATGCACCAAAACTTTGGAACAAACTTCCAGACAACTGTAAAACAGCGGAAACCCTGACTTCTTTTAAATCGCAACTAAAAACACACCTGTTTAGAATTGTTTTTGAAATGTAATATGTAACAATGTATTGTCTATTATATGTTGCATGACTTTGTGTTCTTGTGTTTATGATGTAAAGCACTTTGAAATGCCTTGCTGAAATGTACTATACAAATAAAATAAAAAAAATAAAAAATAAAAATAACAGCTGGTTCTGGAAATCCATTCACTGGTTCATAAGTATTCCTGGCTACAATTATAAAACTAAAGACTCCAACCAATCAGAGAAAAGGTTATTAAAAAGAAAGAGTCAGGGGACGGAGAAAAATATTACTTTGAAGCCCTGGATCATCCCCTGGAGTTCAGTTAAGTCATCAAGACATGGGAGGAATCTGGTCCATGAGTAAATCTCCCTTGATCAGACCGTCCTAACATCCTGAGACACCTGGGAGACAACTGAAAGAGGACACCATAACCATGACTATGCTGAAGTAATTACAAGCTCCAGCTGCTGAGATGGAGAGACTCTGCAGACAACAACTGTTGCTAGTCAAGCTAATGTGTTTCTTTGTCTTGACTGAAAAAAAACAATCAAAGGCAAGGTAGAATCATTAGTCCACATGAAACAGTTTCTGCACTATGATGTGGAGAGTGAAGATGATGACAGACATGTGGAGGTTTTTGCACTCATATGACCGTGGTGGCAGAGTTGCATCTCCAATTCAGAAAGCTGATGACTTTATGCACCAGGAAGAAAAAGCTAAACCAGCCTGTCGTTCAAGATGAGGGACAGGACATAAACTTGGAACTCTGGGCTGCACAGGAAGCTGAAAGTGAACACTTGAGAGCAAAATGAGCTCAAATCAGATGAAAATAACAATTAATACTAAAATGACAAATAACTGCCATCGTCAGCCTGCAATAGTTTGTTCTGTATGGTGACATGTAGCAGCACCAGATCCAGAACTGACTCAGCAGTTTCTAACAACTCAGGTTCGTTCTGTCACCTTAGTACACACTGTAACAAATTGCTGTAAAAAAACGGCCAAAACTGAACAGTATCATACTGTTTCTATTGAAAACGGTACTGTACCGTGAAAAACAATGCATTCTGGGCAATTATTACTGTTTTTAATAAAATACTGTAGTATACTGTGAGTAGCATTGCATTTTGGGAATGATTTTAGATTCAATGGTAAGGAGGCTGTCTTTAAACAGAACGCTACTGTATTTCTGAAGAAGACATGTTGTTGTGACATGTGGAAGCAACCTCTAGAACAGGGGTGTCAAACTCCAGTCCTCCAGGTGTCCTGCAGTTTTTCATTGTGTCACAGGTACAAAACACTGGAATGAAATGGCTTCATTACCTCCTCCTTGTGTAGATAAGTTCTCCAGAGTCTTGCTAATGACCTATTATTGTATTCAGGTGGTGCAGCAGAGGCACATCTAAACGTTGCAGGCCCTCCAGGACGGCAGTTTGACACCCCTGCTCTAGAACTTTCTTTACAAGGACTATCCATTTGAATCCAGCATTTTATGAGCCAATCCTAAGGTAAGTTATTTTTGATGATTCATATTTACAAATATTGACATGTTTGGAAGCTCTTTTTCTTTCTTTTGTGTAATTTGACTTGAATTGCTATGATTAGCTGCTAAAGTGAAATTGGTGAATGGATATCGACTGGGAATTTGGAGTTTCACAAAGTTGACTTGGCAGAAAACTGTTTAAATGTTATGCTGGTGTCTCTTTATTAACTCTTAACATTCAAAAGTTTGTCTTCATCTAGCACACATTCAACCCTGACTCCTTAGGCATCATATGCTAATCTGAAATTACTGCATTTTCAGGCGCTTTCTTGATATCAACCCGGACCAAGGCCAGCTGTAGCAAGATCATCTCCAAGAGGACAGGGAAAACTTTCAAAAGAAGTCGGTCACTGTCATCCCCCGTGTTTCAACTCTGCTGAAAAACCTCATGGACTTTGAGTGGAATTTCATAGTGAGAACTTTCTAACCAAGCTATAGATATTGTTGCCCCTCCATGCAAAAACAAACAAACAAAAAACTATACAGGCATGAAGGCAACTTATCCCTGAACAGGAGTGTTCTTGAGAGACTTATTTGGTTTAAAGGTCAGCATAATCTTAAGACATCTCTTTTAATTAAGAGCATAAATTTTGTTAAGGCTCCCACTTTCTGTTCTTCAGATGTAATTTTTACTGTACAGGCACCATGTTCAACTTATCTTGTCTAATATTGTTTCACTGTTTTATATTTTGAAGTTGGAGCTCTGATTTTGCCTAAAGGAAATTCAAGTCTAAATGTTTCATTTAAATTTTTATCAAACTAAAATTTGCAATTTTTTCTATGCTTTAGATTGAAAGTTAAATGTTTCATTTGTTTTATGTTGCATCATATTGTTCCTCACTTCCACAAAAAGTAGTATTTTGTATTGAAAAAGTAGTGTGCTGAGTTGTACAATGCATTATTTCCATAATTTATTTCATACTTATTTTATTTCAGACTAATCAAAAGGCCACAATTCATGCTTTATTCAAATATTCTTTAAATCGGTTAAGAAATTTATTTCACAAAATAGATGGTGATTTTCTTACTGTTTTTCCAGAATATGACTTACTTTGGACAGTTTACCCTCAACATTCTTGTAGAAAAGGTTTAGGTTTAAGGCACACATACGTTGTCATTTCAAAACCTTCGTCTTTATTATGTGGCCCACTAAAGACTGTGTATGAGTCAATGTTTGAGTTGGTTTTTTTTTTCCAAATAAATGTTTGACATGATGGAACTTACATTTTCTAAGTGTTTTCTTTTCATGTTTCTATTTTATATTGGAAATTTGCAGTAGTAAGCTGTATGTGAATTCAACAGTAATGGTATCATAGAAAAACGGTAATATACTGGCAACACAGCTGCCAGTAGTCTACTGTGAGTCTGATAAAAAAAACAGCAATGTGCTGTAATCAAAAGATTTCTTTTGTGACGGTAATATACTGTAAAGTTGATTACAGTAAGGAGCTCTGATATATGTACTATACTTATTTGTATAGTACATATTATACCATTATATTAACGGTATAATGCTGGCAACCCTGCTGCCAGCATTTTACTGTAAAAATAGAGGGCAATTTTTTACAGTGATATAAGTTACTTTATGGGAGCAAATACAGCATCCATCCATCCATTTTTTGTACACCCTTGTCCCTAGTGGGGTCGGGAGGTGCTGGTTCCTATCTCCAGCGAACGTTTCGGGCGAGAGGTGGGGTCACCCTGGACAGGTCGCCAGTCTGTCGCAAATACAGCATGTAAACTCAAAATAACTGAACGTTTTGTTTGTGAATGGCATGTTTAACTAAAGTTATATTTTAAACTGAAAATGCTAAACGTAATTTAAAGCAGGAGGATGTGAGCCTGGAGTTACTCTGGCTGCTGTCATAGCTGCTCTTCAGTGCGCATGATCCTCCTCTCCTCCCTCCATACGTCGACGCGGCCCCGTTCTCCATCTGACAGCTGGCAGCGCGACATGCTCAGAACCAGACCCGGAGCTCCCCACCAGCACGGATTCGGTTCTGGTCCGAGCGGAAACCGAGCCGCTGAGTTGGAGTCCGAGCTGTCTGGTTGAGCTTCTGGATCCCAGGCGGCATGAGGCGCTCCTGATCCCGGCAGAACGCCTACCTGTTCCCTGTCATATTTTAGATCCGTTTGGACATCCGGAGGCCTGATCATGTCTGTTAGAGAGAAGGAGGTCCTGACCAAAGACAGCGTCAGCCTGTTGCCCTGCTTCTATTTTGTGGAGGTGAGTACTGGTTTCCACCTAGCGGTGGCCCACTAACCCGAGAGGGAGACGTGGTTGTGTAACTGGCATCAAAGATCCATTAGTTGCGCTCCAATATCAGCTGAAAAACAACCCAGTTTAATAAGAATGTTATTAATTAAATAATCGATTTAATTTGAACATGAGTTCAATTATCTTTTTTCAGCGTGCTGCTTTCATCTGGGATGTTCCTCCAAAACAGAATATGCAGGATATTTATGGCGATTTGCACAATGCAGGAATCTGTTTTATCCTGTAAATACAAGCAGAGCTGGATCATGCTCTCAGGACGTATTATGATGCAAGATTGACTGGCTAACACATGTAAGGCATCAACAACAATAACGTATGTCAGATGGCAATTCATTTAGTAAACAAGATTAAAAACTGCAACTAAAATAACCAGAGGTTGTCTTCTAGAGCAACAGTGCAGCCCTGTCTATATCTGTTTCTATGCATGAATTCAGTGAAAGTAGGTCAGAATTGAAATATCTTTCTGTGGCTGTAACTCTCATCAGGGATACGAAGTAAAGCACGTCGGCCATCAAACCTACTATGAGGCAAGAATCTTTGCAGAATGCTGAAAGCATGAAGAAAATGGGGTCTATGCAGGACAATTTTGAGTTTTCATTTACATTAGAGTGGAAAAGGATTCCAGATCCCATGCAGCTTGTAACTGCCACTCCTCCTCCCAGTGTACACGCTTTCATGCTCCAATTCACCGCTGGCCTGTAGCTCTCCAGTCAAACTGGCATCACGTGTTCTGACTATCGGTGCTACCTCGTCAGATTTTCCTACCGTAGCACGGACAGTTAAGCCTATCTGTCAGTGCTACGTGTCCAAACCTGCTACCATCATGCTTACAAACAGAAAACTATAGCGGGCTGTGTTAATGTTAAATAAATTAGATAACATTATTTAACTGATGGGACTGAAGTGGGGCTGCACAGTGGCACAGTGGGTAGCGCTGTTGCCTTGCAGCAAGGCAACAGCGCTAGGACCTTCTTGCAGCAAGGACAACCCAGGACCTTCTTGCAGCAAGAAGGTCCTGGGTTCGATTACCGGCCCGGGTTCTCCCTGTGTGTGCATGGGTTCTCTCCGGGTTCTCCGGCTTCCTCCCACAGTCCAAAAAAACATGACTGTCAGGTTAATTGGCCTTCCCAAATTCTCCCTAGGTGTGAGTGTGTGTGTGCATGGTTGTTTTTCCTGTTTGTCTCTGTGTTGCCCTGCGACAGACTGGTGACCTGTCCAAAGTGTACCCCGCCTCTCGCCCGGAACGCAGCTGGAGATAGGCACCATTAACTCCCAACCCCATTAGGGAGAAGGGTGCTCAGAAAATGGATGAATGGATGGACTGAAGTGGATCTTTGGAGTTATACTTAGCTTAGCATTGGAATAATTTATATACATGAAACCAGATCACTTCCTTCATCAGAATATCCTACCCATTTAAAATGAAAAGCTGTAGATATATAGGATCAAACCTCATAGTAGGTTTGATCCCATTACTAGAATATCCTACCTGTTAAAAAATATTTAAAATACAAAGGTGTTTGTAAGAATAAAACGGTATCAGTTTTATTGGAATTAAATTAAATACTGACACAGGTCACTGCAACTCTTCTTTGCACATTAATATGATGTATGTGTGTTATCAGATGCAGCGCAGCCACAATGAGTCTACCTAACTACACAGGTTAGGTGGACACAATCATATCCTATCAGTGATAGGATATGATTAATATACACTAATATTACACTGTTATTACACATCTTCAATCCCACAGAGTATTGCTACCAACATCGATTCTGAAAAATGTAATAAAAAAAGACTGTCATTGAACTAAAATATTTTTAAGACATAGGGACAAAATAGCCCATAAAACAACATATTTTGTCCTGATTAACCGCCAAACGATGACTTGTTTTTCAGTAGTAACGACTTTGCTGATGGCAAACTAAAACTATAAATATACTTACAAGCTGCTGTCATGTAAATGAAAAACATAAAGTAATATGGCAGCTTAATGAAAGCAAGGTGTAAAATAAATTAAATAAAGCTTACCGCAATCTCCGATGAAATAAAACACATGAAATGATACTGATACAGGTAGGACGAATTTATAAGAAATCTGCTGAGTTAGCAGTATGTGACGCAGCATTGATGTCCGCATGCACATTACCACAATCTAGAACAGATTCATGGGTAGCACAGATAAACAGTTCACTGGCAGTCAAAATTGAAGGGTAAAAAAGTTTTAAAAATGTCCAATTCTATTTGTTTCCTTGCAACTATGAACCATATTTAACCACACACACACACTACACACATATATGCACACACACTTTCTCACTATACCCTTTACTTCACTAAGAAACTGTGAGAAAGCAGGCATTCATGCAATGTTTGATGGGAATCTTTTCTGTTCCAGTGGGCAAACTCCACCCAGTCTGAGTGACACTCAGCAGAAGTGGAGGAAAACATGAATACTCTCTTCAAGACTAATTAGTCTTGATTTTAATCAGCAGGTCAATTTGACCCAGAACAGAATACGTGTCCAAAGTTCAATTATAAAGATCACCCCTTGAAAAATTGTTTTCAAATTGTAATATGAAAAAAAATCTACAAAAAATCTATTACATTTTTTATGTCCAATTGAGTAAATTGTCATCATTGGTAATTTATTTGTGAGAAATAAAAAACATAAGTGCACAAATAATGATTGAAATGATTAGTATTGGCGTTAATAATCAGATACAAAAATGTTTTAGAGGATTTTTTTATTTCTGACACTGTTGCTTGGATTAAACACGCCACAGGTCAAATTGACCCAGGAACATTATTGCTGTACCTCAGAAACGAACATAACTGGAGGGTTAATTCTGCCTGCTGCTACAGGCTTATTGCTAGCTGAATGCCCAGAGTCCAAATAAAAACCACAGCTGGACATAGTTAAAGAGGGAAAAGTAAAAGGATAAATGTATAAAGCTATGAAGAATTATGTTTTGACTCTGAGAGCTAGACAGCTTGGTCAGTAGAGTTTCAAAACTGCAGCTCTTGTGGTTGTTTTCCAGCCAGTAAAGGTCAGTCTTCAAAGGCCGTCCAAGGACGGACCACTTGAACCAACTATAGGGTCATTTGTCAATGTTCACTGGAAGTCTGATCCAACACAATGTTTCCCCCAGTATATTATAAGCCTGTTTAGAGTACTACGGAGCAGAAAACTGACATTGTTGTTAAAAACAGTCAATAGTAGGCACACAGGCACACTTACTAGAAGGAAACAAACGCACCCAGTACAGCACTTTCATTCTATTGGCTGAGAGGTTGCCAGGGCAGTACACCAAAAAGCAGATCTATGTTTTGTAAGTGAGCAAAGTCCGGAGAGAAGTTTTGAGTATAAGCATTACAAGTTTTTAGAAGAAAGACATAATGTCCTGCTTTCAAAATGAAAACGTAAAATGAAATGAAAAGTATTAAAAGTTTTGAGAACAAATGACATAAAATCCTGTTTTCACCTTTAAGATGAGTAAACCACTGTTATGGTAATGATAGCCAGATCTTTTTTCCTTTGGCACAAAACAATACAGTCTATCAACTCACATGCTGCCTTAATGACAAAAACATAGTTCTGTTGTTTGGTTGAGTTGCTGTCCCTTCCCCATTGTAAATCTTGGCTCACCTTATCTCAGGGATTGTGTCATCAATCTGGGAGTTCAGTTTAACTTGGTTTGATTTTAAAAAGAAACAGATCAACAGTGGTTATAAATGTTTTTATCATTTTGACCAAATAGCAAAGGTGACATCAATTTTAGCAAGACAGGGACTGGAGAAATTTATTCACACTTTTATGACTATTCGTCTTGCCCACTGTAGACATTCCGGCTATTCTGCCGCACATCAGTTAACTCATATCAAGGCGCCAGGACATCACCTCCATCCTAGCATACCTTCACTGGCTCTCCATAGACTACAGAATTCATGTTAAGCTTTTGTTATTTATTTTCAAATGCTTGACCAACATTGCTCTACCTCATCTATCTGATCTTCTTCAACCTTAAAATATGCCTGCTGTAGAAGTGTATGTTTCTTTAATACAAATACAAATTTCTGTTTCAATATGCTATAGAAATAAAGATTATTGATTGATTGATTGATTGATTGATTGATTGATCGATCAATCAATCAAATTTTATTTGTATAGCACATTTCAGCTACAAGGCATTTCAAAGTGCTTTACATCATAAACACAAAACACAAAGGCATGCAACATAGAATAAAATACCAAGGTTTTTTTTTTTTTTTTTTTTCTTTTCCCTCTTTTTTCCCTTTCTTCCCCCTTCCCTTTGACACGGAATTTAAGCGCCTGTTACCGCCGGACTGCGCCGTCCGTTTAACCACGGGTATTCGCCGGGCCCCGTTGCCCACAACAGGAAAAAAAAAAAAAAATACATACATATCCACAAAATCAAATCCATACATATTACATTTCAAATGCAACTCTAAATAGGTGCGTTTTTACTTGATTGATTGATACAGTGGGTGTCAAATTGGGTTCTTGAGTGTGTCCTGGATCTCTTTTTTACAAAGCCCCTTCTTAATTTTCACTATGCACTCACAGCACCGATCACACTGGGAGAGCAATGTTGTGAAATCTGCTGTCATTCAAACTGAGATGGAAAAACTAATGAGACTGAGAGAGCTTGGGAGACAGGTCTATTGTGACGGTGATTGTTTTTACATGTTGAAGAAGGAGAAGAAAGACTTGAGGTGTGAAAGGAGAGTTCAGGAGGTCGTTATCAGAGTTAACCTTAACAGCACAATAGTATTTAGTTTTAGTCATATTTTAGTTGAAGATGAATGTTTTAGGGTCACATACAGTTGTAGGGAAAAAAATCACTTAATTTCACAGACATGATGAATATTTAGGATTGGAGTTTGAATTATATTGTGTTTTACAATAATACAACAGATTAACTTTTAGGTTTTGAAACAACTTTCTTGGGACTTTTTTTTAGTGATCTTTTTAAAAACTAGGAATTCTAAATCAGAGGTTCATCAGACCTGAACTTTAAATCTGCATATGACATTCAGTTCAATTGAAAAATACTTAATGCATCCTGAAGAAAACCTAAATGCTGTTGTAACTCTAATAATCCAAGTATCTTCTGTGGACAGTAATGCTGATGGCAGAAAAGGTCTCCAGTAGCAGTCAGCTTTACAACTAATCTGAAGAGTCTTCTGACTGAAGACTGTTGCTGTATAACAACGTGTTAAGAACAGAGGAATATCTTCACTTTGCTCGTTAATTTCCTCTGTTTCCCAGGTCCATCAGTCTCCGCGTGCGCAGTGGGAATAATAAAGAACAACCATACGATATCAGACTTCAGATATGTCTAGAGCTTTACCCAGAGAATTCAATGCATAAATATGTTACGTCAGCATTACACCTAGATCATCAAGAAGTCCGACACATGACAAAACAAATAATTACCTGGAACGAGTTGAAAAGAAACGACAAAATTGCATTTCTGGGAATTGCTCACTCGGGCACAAAGCAATTCGATCTTCTGCTATAAAACAAAGCTTTTTATAAGAAAAAGAAGTGTATTTCCTTTATCTAAATATATGCATTAGAAGGTGTGTTCTTCCCTTTTTTGGGCTGTCTTAATGTTAATTTTATTACCTCTGGGGCTTGCTAAAACACCCAGATCTTCTCGTACCAGTCTCCTCCTTTTTACATTCCAGACCATGATTTATGACCTGCAGCTAGACGCAATGGCTCTCTGTCTCAGTAATTCAACAAGAAACTGATTTATAGTTTAAACAAACTGGCACAAAATCTAATGCCAAATAATAACTAGGAGTTTGGATCTAAAAACTGCAGGGTTATCTTCTTTTAAGAAAAACTCTTGGAATACCTGAAATATTTTGGAAGTAAAATAGTTTCCTAATCCTATTGTATTTCAGCAATATAAAATGCATGCAAGTAGTATGGTTAAAACTAACTAAATCAGAATGTGCTGTTAAATGCTTAAATCTGAATACATTTGATTATATTGGTAGAAGACTTTTCTTACAAGTCTTAGTGTTTACTAAACTCTTAACCAACCCTAAAGAATTCACTGATTCTGATAACAGGCAGACTCCCTGTGCCTGGATACTCCCCTGTCTGAAGGCCCTCTTTAGTAATTTATGTGAGTTCAGAGAGTAAAACGTTGTTTTAGTTTGGATCTTTATCTAAGTTTGCCTTAACATAAAGTGTACTCCAAATGTTCATGCTGCATCTTATATTTAATATGCATAAAGGTTGACTGTCTTTAAAGTTATGCTAGCCAAACTTATATTCTCAACAAACGTCATGTCTATCATGACATGCTAACAGCTCAAATCCATGTAGCAGAGACTGTATTCTATAGTAACATGTCCTGGATGTTGTAATCAGTTAGCCCAGAGGTCGGCAACCCAACATGTTGAAAGAGCCATATTGGACCCAAAAAACGAAAAACAAATCTGTTTGGAGCCGCAAAAAAGTAAAAGCCGTATATAAGGCTTTAATATATGGCAAAACAGGCTCTAGGTGTTTATATTAGCGTATTATCAAAATGACTAAGTGTATCACGTGACTCTTCTGTTGTACAATGGTGCTTTATGTTAACCTTCTGTTACAATATGAATGCATTTACAAAATTAAAGAAACGCAATAAAGAAATCAAATTCTTGATATCATTTTTATTATGAAGAGCGACAGGGAAAGTGTCATTTTTTCTCTTTTTGGAACACGGAAAATCTGCCCCCAAATGCAGACGATCGCTCTTTGTAAATAATCACCGTTAAGTGTGTGATCAAAAAAACAACAAACGGAGTGTAATAAAACGGCAGTCTTTTGAAAAGGTAAAGTCTATAAAATTAAGAGTTTAAGTTCAATTTCTGTGCAAATGCCAAGCAAATCAGTGCAACAGTAACACAAAGCAGCCATGAGCAACCCGACCTGAGCAACGACACAAAACAATATCGCTAAGTGTCATTCTAAATGTATACTGATGAAAATTACTGTATCGCTTATTTATGTATGTTTTCAGTTTTCTTTATTTTTTTCCAAAATATTTGTAGTTATTTGACAACTTGTCGCTGCAGAGCGAACATTCAGGCAATTCTTCCACACTGGCAACAAATGCAGATGATTCGGTCCAAGAATTGTAAAATTGAATGTTTCTTCTACACATTTTTATAGCATTGGAAAACGTTAAGAATGATTGTGTCGTGTTTGTCCTCCTACAGAAACCATATTAAAACAAAAAATATATTTCCCAGCCCCATCTTTTCCCATTTTCAAACATTTTTGATGAAGCTCCAAAGAGCCACTAGGGCGGCGCTAAAGAGCCGCAAGCAGCTCCAGAGCCATGGGTTGCCGACCCCCGAGTTAGCCATTGTGCTAATTTGCCTCCTTTGCTTTTGCTGCTCCTCTTTAAACCTCTTTCTGGATGCATGGTTAGAGAATCAGGACAGAGATGCTGGAGTCTGGGATATGATCCTTGTCCAATTATTATGAGAAAATAATGTCTCATAATAATTGCTTTAAATGTCCTTCTTTTCTCTGCTTTTTGGTTCCTTTCAGGCAGTGACTAAGTCCAGGCAACCCTGTCAGAATTAGTTTCACTTGTGTTCTATCAGAATCCATTCCAACTTTAGATTTTATAAATAAAAAAAGCCACTGATGAAATATTTCTTGTAATAGTTTCGGTGATTAAAATAAAAACTGACCCTGGCTTAGCAGAACTCTCTCAGAAGAGACTGGGCTTTATTCAGACATGTTTGGCAGACACTGTGAGACCCTGTTGGGCTCACCTGATTGCTTTACAATCCTTTACCTGATGCATTTATCACAGGCGGTTTACTTACACAGCAGTGTGACTCCAAGTGATAATAATAATAAAATAACGGTAAAATAAACATTGCAATAAATTCTTGAATCCTAGGTGTTTATATTAGCGTATTATCAAAATGACTAAGTGTATACATGATTGCTGTAATATTTGAATCATTGTGCATTGTTTCTGCAGCAGTGGTGCTGTGTGCTTGGTGTGTGAGAGCTGTGTATGCTAGAGACAGAACCAGCTCTAGACCACAACATCATTCACTCAGGGCTTCATTATGCAGACTGAGTATTGTAGCGGTAATAAGTCATGAACAAAACATGATTAAATATTGGTGGTTGCAGTCTGTGTTATTTGACTAAAGGACATATACTATCAAATATATTTTACTTTAGAACTTTTACCATTACAACAAAAGCTAACTTAATAGTACACACAGCTGGAGTCATTTTGACTCCCAGCACAAGTCCAACTTCTGTCATCTACAGAAATACTCAGATGACTCTGCAGTTCTCTGGTGAATCAGAGATGAACAAGAGGATGAGTACAGAGAGCTGATAGACCTCTTTTTGTCATGGTGTAGGAACAAAGCAATAGAGATGATTGTTGATTTCAGTTGGAACAGGGTTAGATCAAACCCTATTTCCATCATTGGAGAAGAAGTGGATGTGGTTGAGGAATGAATATAAATACCATAGTGTTTATCTGGAAAACAGACTGGCCTGGAGACACAAGAAGAAGGATCAGAGTAGACTGTAGGAAGCTAAGATCCTTCAAGGTTTGCAGCAAAATCTTGCAGATATTCTGACAGTCTGTTGTTGAAAGCATCATCTCTGCTGCCGTCATATATTGGGGCAGCAGCATCAGAGCCAGGGACATAAGAAGGCTCAATAGCCTGATAAAGAAGGCTGGTTCTGTTCTGGGGACGACTGTTTTCTTTCCACCCTTCTTATGCAAAGAAGGATTCTTCATACGATGAAGAAAATAATAGACAACACCTTTGCTGTTCATGACACTGTCTTGGGAAGGCAAAGCATGATTAGAGGCTTCTTCAGATTCAGTGCAGTATAGGCTGCACTGAGATCTTTCCTGCCAACAGCCATCACCACCTGAAACCTGTTCAGCTTCCAAAGTCCTGTCCACTGACTCTGTGACAGGTGAGGTGTGATGCTGTATCTGAACTACAGACAGCCTCTCAGCCTGGCTGCAGCTCAGCTGAGCCGTGTGACTGCCTGGCTCCAGCAGTCTTCATAGAACTGCGCAGTGTTGAGATGTTAGGATGAGCTTTAATCCCACACGTCTGATCAGATGCTTCAATTGTCACTGTTGTTTCTAAACCCTAAATATGTCAAATACACTTTCACTAGAGTTTAGTGTTCACATTTAGGATCAGTGAGTACGTTTCAAGTTAGTTGTTAATTCCATTCAACATCTTCCATTTTTCTTTTGATAGGTCACATCCATAATCTTCCATGCATAATTGAATCAAATTAACATGCTCATTGATCCAAAAGGCCATCACAGCAGCAGCAGCCATAAAAAAATATTGACTGGAAATCTACATAAGCTTCAGCTTTTTGACCTGGAAGTGTGGTAACTCTGTGTGGCTCTGGTCTCCATAGCTACCCATTCTGGTCTCTTCTATGGTGAGTCTCTACTTCCTGGAGTGGACCGATGTGTTCAAGCCAGTGAATTCTGGGTATAACTGCCACGACCGCAGCCTGAGCCTGCCCTACATTGACCCCAACCATGAGGTCATCCCACTTCTGATGCTGCTTAGCCTGGCCTTTGCAGGACCAGCCATCACTGTGAGTATTAAGACCATAAAACATGCACAGAGTTCCTGTTTCTTTTGAAAACTACATGGTTGGATCTGGGAAAATATCAGTATTAAAACAATTAGTTTATGCAGAATATTTCACTTTATAAGGTGCAGGTAGAAGTATAAAGTATCATAAACTGTACAATAATACAGCCAGAGGTTCACTTACAACCTCAGCTTGGGCTCCAAAGTGAAATGGAAACTGCAGGTTGAGCTGCCATTCACATGGCCTGAGGCTGAGGGTGGCAGTTCAAAGGTTCATTACATTTTAATAGTGTTTTGAAATTGCAATGTTGGACAGAGTGAACTACACTTTTCATTTCAAATGCATTTTGTGTGTTTGAATGAATGAATGAATGAATGAATGAATGAATGAATGAACGAACGAACATTTAGGTGATCTTATTCTTACTTTTTGTCTCTGAACCTCATCATCGAGCACCCCAGGCAAACAGACATAAGGCACTAACCCAGGGAAATGTGTACGCCCCACACACTGGTAGACAGTCAGCAAGGCACAGGAGTGTCAGCCATAGAGACACAGGAGATGTAGGAGGTCAATCCCCCCACCCAGTCACACAACCATTTCCCTCCACCCCATAACCACACTGAGTCCTTCGTATGTGGGTCGTGCCCTTTACTCCTGCACCACCACCATGCCCAGAATTCAATAAAGTTAATGGCTCGATGCAATCAACTGTTAACTTTTCCCACATCCTTGCTCAGGAGTCGGATCACTGGGAAGTTAGTGGCTCAATGCAACTGGCTTTGATTACTTAGAAAACATTCTATCAGTTGGACTAATGAATGAATGTTGCTTTTTTTAACTTGAATGAAACTATAACATCTTGAATTGATTAAATCATAAGTTGTGTCTGTCTTGTAAGTTGCTTGATATAATTTAATATGTGAATTGATGGCATATCAAACATTTCATTGAATTGGATTGGATCTGAAAATATGTAAACATTATTAAAGGTAACAATGATTCAGTACCAACCAGAAAGTGTACAGCAAAGGTTAAGCCTAGCAAGTAAGTAAAAAAAAAACCCAGATTGAATACTAAATCCTCAGTAAAATCTTTACCAACCACATCTACATGGAAGCACATGCAATAAATGAGTGATTGTTCTCCAGATCATGATTGGAGAGGCCATCTTGTTCTGCTGCCTTTCTTGGAGGAAGACTGGCAGAACGGAGGCTAGCATCAACGCTGCTGGATGCAATTTCAATTCCTTCATTCGCCGAGCCATCCGCTTTGTTGGTATGCCCACTTTCTTAGTGTTTGATTTGAGACCAATAAACCTAATTGCATTTTCTCACATTATTTTCGAAGATATGATTGTTGGACCTTTTGTACAGTTGTCTCACGTCTAACCTTTCATCCTTAGGTGTTCATGTGTTTGGCCTCTGTGCGACTGCTCTTATTACCGACATCCTGCAGCTAATGACTGGCTATCCAACACCCTACTTCCTCACTGTATGCAAACCCAACTACACCACGCTGAACATCAGCTGTGATAAGAACCCCTATGTGAGAGAGGATATCTGCTCAGGAGCAGACCCTGCAGCCATAAATCAGGGGAGGTGAGGAGGAAAAGCATTCATCTCTTTCACTTACCTCTAGAACTAAGAACTTCCCAGTGACAAAAGTAATCAATAAGACATTGTAATGATAGTGTATGTATTTTGTTCCTTTGCAACAGTTTTTAAGAATGTGTTAAATAAGAACTGATCAACCAGTGTTTGGACAGTTTCAGTTCTGAATCCATCAGCCTCACACAGTTAATCAGCAGTTCAGAAAATTTTTTAAACTCATGAAATAAATGTTTAAACTGTTAGAGAAAATCATCTAGAGCAAAGGTCCCTCAGAGGTCTTGAGGACCAATGTCCTGCAACTTTTGAATGTGTCTTTGCTTCAACAAACTTGAGTCAAACCATGAGTTCATCAGCAAGACTGAGCAGGTCATAAACATCTGATTCACGGGTGTCTAACCAGAGAGACATTTAGAAGTAACAGGACATCAACTCTCCAGGCCTGGACGTGAGCATGTTTCTACTGTTAAGCCTACAGTCTCTGTTTGTGTGGGGGGTTTTTTTGTTACTCTGAGCAACATTTAGCAGAGCAGATAAAAGTGAAAAGCTGCCTATATCAATTAGAGAGAACACAGCTGTTCTGAATGCTGGACCTCATGAAGACGTCTGTGCTTTGACACTCTGAGCTCTGGGTTCACAGTCTTTTCCATATCAGAAGAGCATTTAGGGACAGTTTTGTAGATGACCTAATGAGGTGACAACTCTGCTGGAATGTTTCTCCTGCCTTCTATATGTTCTTCATCACTGATCCGAATGCCCAGAGCCTAGTTTTCCTCAAGAGAAATGTCACACATTCATTAGTTCAGTGTTTTCATGAAGTGGAAGGATTCTTCTTCTTTTTGTTTTATGACAGTTGTCAAACAACTTTTAGGTGCATTACTGCCACCTTCCAGACTGGAGTATGGACCAGATTTATAACCACTATAATCTTTCCATATTACCTGTCCTCCTAAGAAAGCTAAATATGCTGTTGAATACTACATCTTCAGACGACTTTTGTAACAAATTTCTAATATCCAATTTAGTTTTATTCCTATTTAACTCTCTGATTAACATCTCTCTTTCTTGAGTGTATCTATTACATTCTAAAAAAATATGCTGTATTGTTTCTGACTTTTCACAATATCTACACATACCTGTACTATGTTTGTTAATTATTTTCAAAGTACTATTTAAACCCGTATGCCCAAATCTTAATCTGGATATAATATCCTCCTCTTTTTTATTCTTATTACCTTTCCCACATTCCCCAACTTTTTTTAAATACTATAATATAATCTTGCATTTTCTTCTCTATCCCATTGTTCCTGCCATTTCCTTTTACTATACATTTTACTTATATTTTTGACCTTGTTTTTGCTCATTTTAGAGATAATGTATTAGTTCAACATTATCTTTTTTGCTGCATTTTTAGTGAATTTGTCTGCCAATTCATTTCCTATTATTCCAATGTAAGCTGGAATAGAAATTAATTTAACACTGGATCCATATTTTTCCAATTTAAAATTATTTTATATCCAATACAATATCTTGTCTTGTTTCTGAAGTTTGCTCTACAATGCTTATCAATGCACTACTTGAATCTAAGCAAATCAATATCTTCTTCTTTCCTGACTCCTCACTCCATTCTATAGCCATTAAAATAGCCATTAATTCACCTGTATATACTGTCAGTCTATCCGTCATCCTTTTATTTTTCATAATATTTAAATCAGGAATTATGAGTGCTATTCCAATTTTGTCATTTAACATTTTAGAAGCATCTGTATATACTTGTTTATATTCTCCATATTCTTTCCTTATATTTCCTTCCACCTCTTCCTTTCCTATTTGTTTGCCTCTTTCCAATAAACTTAAATCAACTTCAATTTTTCCATTTAACCACGGTGGAGTACAAGGAATATTTACCACAGGAATAATTAAACAATGATTTATACCTGCTTCATTTATTTCTTTATTAATAATTCAACCAAAACTATTTATTTCCTTATTCTTTACTTTTTCTTGACAAGGTTGTAGTATACTATTTAGAGAATAGCTTTCCTTATGTCCTTTTATATTCGTCCAACTATGGCTAACTGTTTTCTTCTGAGCTCCAGTGACATCTCACCCATTTCAACTTGTCATGCTGATACTGGGGTTGTTTTCATTGCTCTGCAACAAATTCTTAATGCCTGATATTGAACTCTATCTATTTCTTTTAGTAAACTATTTGAGGCTGAATTATATACAATCAATCAATCAATCAAATTTTATTTGTATAGCACATTTCAGGTACAAGGCATTTCAAAGTGCTTTACATCATAAATACAAAACAAAAAGGCATGCAACATAGAATAAAATACCAAGGTTTTTTTTTTTTGTCACGGAATTTAAGCGCCTGTTACCGCCGGACTCCGCCGTCCGTTCAACTATGGGTATTTGCCGGGCCCCGTTGCCCACAACAGGAAAAGATCTCAACAGGAAAAGATCTCAACAGGCGGAATTTAAGCGCCTGTTACCGCCGGACTCCGCCGTCCGTTTAACCACGGGTATTCGTCGGGCCCCGTTCCCCACAAAAGGAAAAAAAAAAAAAGAAAATAAAAAATTGAAAATTACATACATATCCACAAATACAAATTCATACATATTACATTTCAAATACAATTCTAAACAGGTGTGTTTTTAATTGTGATTTAAAAGAAGTCAGGGTTTCCGCTGTTTTACAGTTTTCTGGAAGTTTGTTCCAAATTTTTGGTCCATAGATGCTGAAAGCTGCTTCTCCTCTTTTGGTTCTGGTTCTGGGGATGCAAAGCAGAACCAGAACCAGAACCTGAGAGTCTGGAAGGTTGATACAACAACAGCAGATCTTTAATGTATTGTGGTGCTAAACCATTCAGTGATTTATAAACTAACAACAGTATTTTAAAATCTATTCTTTGAGCTACAGGGAGCCAGTGGAGGGACTTAAAAACTGCTGTTATGTCTCTATCTTCCTGGTTTTAGTGAGAACAGGAGCAGCAGCTTCTGGATCAGCTGCAGCTGGAGGATTGATTTGTTGGACAGGCCTATGAAGACGCTGTTACAATAATCAATGCGACTAAAGATAAACACAGGGATGAGTTTCTCTACATCTGGCTGAGATATTAGTCCTCTAATCCTGGAGATGTTCTTCAGTGATAGAAGGCCGACTTTGTAACTGTCTTTATGTGGCTCGTAAGGTTCAACTCCGAGTCCATCACTACTCCCAGGTTTTGGGCCTGATCTCTAGTTTTTAGTTGTAATAACTAAAGCTGTGCATTGACTCTAGATCAATAGCTCTAGATTTATAGCTCTAGATCTATAGCTCTAGATCTATAGCTCTAGATCGTTCCTCTTTAGGTCAAAAATAATGACTTCAGTTTTGTTTCTGTTCAGCTGGAGAAAGTTTTGACACATCCACACATTTATCTGTTCTAAACATTTATTAAGTGATTGGATGGGGTCAAAGGTCACCTGGTGACAATGTAATGTAGAGCTGTGTGTCATCTGCATAGTTATGGTAGCTAATATTATTTCCTATTATAACCTGAGCTAGTGGGACAATATAAACATGGAATAAGAGGGGTCCTAGGATTGAACCTTGGGGCACCCCACATGTGACCTTTGACCTCTTTGAAGAGAAGTTTCCAATTGAAACAAAGAAATCCCTGTTCTTTATGTAGGATTCCAACCAGTGAAGCACTGGACCGGAGAGTCCAACCCAACTCTCCAGTCGATTCAGTAATATGTCAAAAGCTGCACTGAGGTCCAACAGAACCAGCACTGTGGTTCTCCCACAGTCCGTCTTTATATGGATATCATTGAATACTTTGACTAGGCCAGTCTCCGTGCTGTGGTGAGCACGAAAACCAGATTGTTAGGAGTCAAAGCAGTTGGTTATTGTCATGAAGCTATTCAACTGTTTACACACAGCTTTTTCAATAACTTTGCTGATGAATGGAAGGTCAGAGGTCAGAGGTCGGCCTGTAATTCTGCAGTAGTGATTTGTCCAGATTGTTCTTTTTTAGCAGAGGTTTGATAACTGCTGTTTTCAAAACCTGGGGGAAAACGCCTGATGTGAATGATGAGTTACTATTTGGATCAGATCAGTAGCAATAACAGGCAGGACTTTCTTAAAGAAATGTGTGGGTATTACATCCAGACAGCAGGAGCTTGAACTTAATTGACTTAGAATTTGTTCTAGAGTTTTATAATTAAGTGGTTGAAAGTGGGTCATTTTTCCTGTATTAGGTTTGTCTGGGTACAGCAATGGTTCTGGCTGTAGAGTTGGTGTGCAGATTAATCCTCTGATTTATTGAATTTTCTCTGAAAAGAAGCTGGAAAACTTGTTACAGGCAGCATTAGATTGAATTCAGGAGGTAACGTCATAGGAGGGTTTGTGAGCCTGTCAACTGTTGCAAATAAAGCTCCAGCATTGTTAATGTTTTTGTTTATGACATCTGCAAAGAAAGCCTCCCTTGCATGTTTTAGTGTTGAGTGATAGTTACATAGTATTTCTTTGCAGATGTCATTATGAACGTGAAGTTGAGTTTTACGCCATTTTGGTTCTGCTCTGAGACAGAGTTGTCTTGCAGATCGAACTGTTTGTGCTTTTCTCCATGGAGATTTCTTCTTACCAGTCAAAACCTTTACTTTAATTGGGGCAATGGAATCAATGATATATGAAACTATAGACTGAAAATCATCTACCAACTTATCTACGTCATTACAGTTTAAGGGTGAGGAAGAAGTGTAGATTTGATTAAATGTTTCTGCTGTGTTTTCTGTAAAAGAACGTTTTGTGACAGTAGCTGTTTGTCCAAGTGGGTCAAAGAATAAATAACTTTCAAAGATAACAGCAAAGTGATCCGACAGTGCGATTTCAGTTACAGAGACATTGGAAATATTCACACCATTACTGATAACCAGGTCCAGTGTGTGTCCTTGAGTGTGTGTTGCTTGTTTCACATGTTGTGTTAAACCAAAATTTT